CTTCCTTCCTTCCTTCGTCTTTCTTTGGTGTTTTGAAACAGGGTCTTGCCATGTAGTTCAGGCTGGCCTTGAACTCTCACTCTGTAACCCAGGCTGGCCTCAGACTTGTAGCAGTCCTTCTGCCTCAGTCTCCTGAGTACTGGAATTACAGGAGTATAATTGCTTTTTTATAAGGTCTATGTAAGATGCATCCTATTTTACAGAAAATTTTTTGGAAATAAAAGTATTGAATATGTTTCACCATATATGAAAAGCAATCTGAAAATATAAAATAAAAATATAATTTTGTTAATATAAATATAATATCCTATATATCAGAATACAATAGACTAATAGGTGCTGTATTAAAGAAAAGGTCTTACCGTGGAAAAAGTAAAGCGTATGAAAATCTCAGCACTACAAAGAAATGTATAAATATCAGCCAGTGTTGGTATGTGGCACAGTTATGGTTGTCACAAGTTTAAATCTAAAATGTTAGCATGATTATGCATACTTTCCCTTTGATCATCTTAGTGGCCTGTGTTTGGTTATTTTTGTTAATGAAACTCATTATGATGTGATACTCTTGCTTTTGCTGTTATATTTTGTTTTCTCATTTCACTACCAACAGTGACATCATTCATTATATCTTTTGAGCTAGACTTTGTGTCTATGGTATGGGCACAGAGGATATAGAACAATTTTTGAATTGTCTTTTGTTGTGAGAAAATGTATCTTACATATTCACAAATAGGGTTCTAGTGAAAGAGCCAGGATGTGAGCATTGTTTTCTTCTAGTTGTTCATAATGGCCAGTAAGCCTACAAATGTCACTCAGATTTATTGTTGGCTCTCTGACCTGAAGAAGCTCCTTTCGTTCATTGGTGAATCCAAAGACTTGGAATCTGATTTAAAGACTTCAAATACAGTTCCTTTTTTTTTTTTTTTTTTTTAAATTTTAATGAGATCCAGGGTTACTCACACTGAATATGCAGGCAAAATTGCCAACAAACGTCAGTGATAGAACTGTAGAGCATTCTAGAACGATAAATCATGAGCATGTGATACTTTAGAACCTGGTGTGATTTTCCACTGTGGAATTCCTGTGCTGTGTCCTAAAACGTTAGGTGAGTTTGGTGGAAAATGCCTTACCAACTCCTTCTACCTGGAAGTGCAAATCATTTTCCACATGAGTCATTATTTTTCCCTGCCTTGGGTACCTCCAGCAAACACCTTTAAAAGATAACACCTTTGAAAAATGGAACCCACAAATTTTAATTCAACTGACTTTTAAAACATGTAATTTGTGGTCTGAAGTTTTCCAGAGGTTGGTTGTATTACAGGCCTATATGCTGCACTGAATCTATATTAGGAAAATATGAGCTGGTTCTGTCCTGTCCTACTGTCCAGCCCACTTTTCCTTCTGTCTTTCCCTCCCTTACTCTCCCTCCCCTCCTCCCCTTTTCTCTCTCTCTCCTGTCATTTTCATTTCTTCTGAAATTCTGTTTCATGCATACAACTATGGAGTTCCATTGGAGAATGAAAGAACAGTTTCTAATAGCAAAATGTGACAGTAATTTTATATGCATGGAGGTTGAAACTTCCAACAGTAGAGTCACTGAAGTGCTGATATTTTTCTTGTTGAGTTTTTCTCTAAAACTAATCTGAGAAATTGTGATACTTCTATTGAAAATCCTAATACTTAAATAATAAAGTGGCTACAAAATTGTTTTGAATTTTTCTTCAACTTCCAAAATGACGACTTAGCATTTTGGGCATAATGCTGTCAGTATTACTATTTATATGAAATCTCTGCTTCACATTCAGCACTTCTATTGCAAACTGTTGTGAATTTTCTGAATTTGGTATTAAAATGAATATTTATTTGGACTCAGGGAAGTTAAGAGTGTTTTCTTCTCTTGTGACTGTAGCATTCATAGGCAAAAATAAGCAAGCTAAATAACACCAAGCTGTTCATATTATACTATACAGCAACTGATCACAAAATAATGATCTACTAACTGAACGATCATCTTGACCCACCCTGCAAACAGGGTAGCATTTGTTCAAATTTAGGTTTATGTTTCAGTATTGCCTGATATTTATACATATTTATACATAAATTGTTCGTGTTTGGTAAACCAACGTAAACATGACGTCAGAACCAATTTCAGAAATCTATTGAATTCAGAAATATGTTGTTTCCTGGGAACACACGTCATCATCTCCGCTTTATTGCAATCTATTTTTCTTCTATTTTCTCATATTCCTCTTTCATTTTCGCCTTTCCCTTCCTATCTACAATGCAAGCTCCAGTGACAGAGTGATAGAATGTGGGAAATCCCTGGGGATCCAGATCTGAGTTCTGTTATTTAGATCAAATCTTTCATGATGAGTATTTTAGAAGTTTAAAAAAAAATCAACATAGCACACCATACACACCACATGCCTTTTAAATGATGAGCCAGTATTTGTCATCCCTGTAAATCGGAGTAGAGTCAAACTTCAAGTCAAATCATTTCACAACTGTGTTGCTTGTATTTAAAGCTGGAGCACTCTTTGCTAGAGACAGAGTTTTGTCCTAGTTTTTGTTTTTCACAGGTCAAAACTGGAGAAATTCTCTTGAGTCTTCAAGATAAAGCACTTGCATTCGCATCAGCGTATGCGTGAACATGTGAGAACCAGGTGTCGTTTCTGCTTCATCAACTTTACATGTCTGTGTTGTCGCTGAAGATATGCACCCATTGTTTATAGCTCCCAAGGAGACCCTCACTGCATTTTTTATGTTGGAAAACTTTATTTTTATGATTTCTGTTTGCAAAGAAATGATCATCCAAAAAAAAAGAATACTCCAAAGAGTAAGAATTGCTACAGCAAATGAAATTCAAGTATGATTCACTTACTGTGTCGTCTTTTTAAGTGTCACTTCCTGTTTTACCTGTTGTCTTTTTTTTTAAATTAAAAGCTTTAAATATGTGTCTTTTGGTATCATTTTGGAATTGTGTACTGTTACCTTTGTAAGATTTCAAGTTCAAACATTTATAATGTGAAAT